AAACGAAGAAAATTATCTCCATCGAAGAAAAAAAAGACATTGAAAAAACCAAAAAAGAGAAGAAGAAGTAGAAAAACAATCACTGCTAAACAATCGAAATCAAAGAAACGAAAAAAATCTAATATGAATTCAAAATTATCTGACAAACATATAACATCAGATAGACTAAAATCAATTAATACGGAGATAGGTTAGTATAAATGAAAAACAGAGATGTAATCAGAAGAGAAATTGTAAGAATCAATGAATATATTGTCGGAAACTGATAACTATCTCATTTCTCTCTAATGAATCGTTATCTTGTCTTAAAGAAATTTCCAATTCGATTCCTGTATCTAATAAATTATACTCTCGTACTAATGATTTATGTTCTCTGAATTATGACACTAAAAACAATAATAATAAATTAGTTTCAACAGGAAATCTTTTCTTTTCATGTATCTAGATCCTGCAAAGGAAGTAACAATTCTTCAACAAAACGAAAAACAAATGAATAAAGGTTTTGTTCCTCTTGCTCGTGGTCGATCACAATCAACAAGATTAAATCATGAAAAATCTCAATGTCTTTGTATGAATTGTAACAATTCGTATTCGACTTTATTTCAAACGATAAACAATGTCGATCTTATAAAAAATGTTTTACCATGTGATGAGAATGATGTAACAAACATTTCTAACTATGAATACGAACTAAACTATGATGAAGAACACCTTTTTCGTTGTTAAGATAAGAAGAGAAGAAGAAAAAAAACTTCAAGGATAAACACATTCTGTTGATATTTTTTGTTATGATCAGCTTCATCTTACTTTTTACAAGTTTTATTATTTATAGTAAAACTGATACAATTAAACAAATAAAATACTGTGAAATATGCATGATTGATTCAACTTGTACAGATGATTCAATCTATTTTAATATTTCAATATCAAAGGACTGTCGAAATCCATTAAATATATTTTTTACATATTCGACTGATGTTAATTCAAAACGTCATCAATATAATACGACAACTACTTGTACGAATTGCTATACGAATATTGTAATAGATAGTGTTCGCGGTGCTTGGGATTATACATTAACACTTGAATCACCACAATCATTAAACAGATGTCCAGCTCAACATGTTGCTCATTGTGGAGGAGAAATGTCCCGTATAACATGGTATATCACCGGTGGTCTTTCCGGTTTATTTCTTGTAATTGGTGTTATATTATGTAGTATTAAACTTTGTCGAAGTTCAAAAAATCAAATCAAACCGAAAAAGAAAAAAATGGAAGTACCTGTAATTAATGCTTAAATAAATAACTTAGTTTTCTTTTTGCTGATCTAGCGACTATTATTGTAAAAAATTGAATAAATCTCACAAGAATTATTTCATTTCAATGTAAGTTTATTGGAATTTTTCAGATGTTTTCAAAACACAATATTTCTAAATCAAATTAGAAATAAACAAAAAAAACAGACTATACAGAATTTCTTTCCGACGGTATATGTTTTTGTAATATCTGAAGGATTTCTTCTTGATCAGATAAAGTTTTACTTTCCGTTAGACGACGTTCCATATCATTTATAAGCGATTGATCAGTTTTTATCAAATCATTGTAAACTTGTTTTTTCTCTAGATGATAATTACATTATTTACATAGAAAACAAAAGAATAGATTTTTGATTTACGTTGATAATCATCAAACAAATATTCTGTTTCTTTGATTAATATTTCCGTTGCTTTTTGATCTGCATTCTTATGTTTTAGATTTTCACTATGATCATCAAATAACATTTGAATAGCTAATTCCTAATAAAAAATGACTGTTTTATTTATTTATAATTAAACTCACAGTAGCATTAAGTTTTTCTTGGTTATCTTTGTTTCTTTTTCGTATAAAGTCAATAAGTTTATAATTAAGTGTCATGATTTGTTTATAATCTTCATCAATAGGATTATCCGGCTAAATAAAAACTATGAATTTTTCATCGAATTGTTAGTGTTTTTTTGTTACTTGTTTGTCAAATTCGGAATGAGCATAGTTTTTACATGTCGTAGAACAAGGTTTTGCGGTTTCTTCAGAATAATTCGAACAACTAATGAATAATATCAAAGAGAAAAATATATTAATTTAATTTTCGTACCATTTCTCTTTCGATGTTTCAATAAAATCAACTAATTTATTTGCTAGACGACATTTAACAAAATCTATTTCTTGTACAGAATGTCTTTAAAATAGAAAAAAAGAAAAATTATGAATGAATAGATCGACAAACTTACGAACATTTTGGACATGATTTTTGTTTATTTAGCCAACTCTATAAATAACAATAATAATAGATAATGCAAAATAATAACAAAAACAAGTATCAATTTATACTTCAATACATTTAACACAAACAATAGCAGAACAATGAATACACATACGAGAATCATTAACAATATTAAGACACATTATACATTCAATTTCTTTTGATAAAGACTAACAAAATAAAAAATCTTTTTTTTTCTAATAATTTATGTGAATAAACTTACATCAATTTCAGTTAATGGTATTATATTATCTCGCATCATAGCCTTGGAAAAAAATATTTTATTACAATGACATTTTTTGTATTATAAATAGAACATCTAAAAAAGATCTAGACTATCGTTCATCGATTAAATGATAATATTATAAGAAAAATCTTGGATTTCTTCATATGTTTAATGACGCATATATATATATATATATAT